TCTCAATTAATTTTGTAGTACCACATATTCATCAACACCCATATGGTAAATATCTCTTTTAAAGAGAAAGTTATACCATTATGGTTATGGTCAAAATTATATGCAAGATCTGTTTCTTGCATTACCGTTGTCTTTTAACAATCACAATGCCAAAATATTTTGGCGTACAATAGGTACGTGACCAATAACCATTCATGCCATAATAATGACATTATTTTCTTATATCATCTCAAACCTCCTTTTAGAGGTGAGTGCGGTATATTCACTGCCACTAGCACGTTCATATTCTTTGAAGAATGAATATGTATTCATAAATCAGATGTTGTCACATTCACATCATGAATGGACCATAATCATCTATATGTGCTTTACAAAATCTCATGTCAAATCGATGACAAATATTTTTCACAGAGTGAAGGATTATTTTGAGAATCCTTATTATTCTCATTATCACAATGATAACGATTATACTTTCGTCTATTGCCACGTCCACATCCATTGATACCTTCACGGTAATAATTTTGTCTTCTTTCAGACTTATCACATATTGCTATCACATTCTCTTAAGGGAATGAGAATGGAGCAAATTCAATGGGACGGGTTTTCACTTCTTGTGCTCACGATCATACATGACTTTGATCATGGCAAGACATAGAAATTTTACCACTTCAGGTGGTTATAATTTCTTACAAACTCCATTAGAGTTATAATCAAACTTTGTTGTCTTTGCTTGTATTTAAAATCAAAGTATAGAATAAAAGAGAAAAATACGGTAAAATACTTACCTTAAATCCAGAATTTAATCATGAAGGAAGTTCATGGAATAATTGACAATCATTATGCTCAATCCCAAAGCTTCTACTCAATTGGTTAGAGTCTCGTGCTGATAACGTGTTATAAAACAATAAAAGAAGAAGAAGAATATTGCAGAGAAAAGTAGGGAGAGAGAATTCTTATTGATTTGGGATGAATTACAATAGAATAGAACCCTCTATTTATAGGGAGAGGGCGACTTAGCCACCAAGCAATGAACCCTAGAATCTCTCTAAATATAGACATTCACCATAAATAAAATTCTATTTATAACATTACAATCTTTTTAAGACACGAAAAAGGAGAGTGTGTGAAATCAATTGAAAATTTCGAAAGTGTAGATTTATGTGAAATGAGGACTAATTATAAAAAGGCTTGAATATAAAGTTTACCATTGCCAAAAATAATAAATGCTCATTAATTAACATAATAGCCTTTATATTAGAGTGAACTTGGTCTAATCTTGGATTAGATGCAACTTTTCGACAAAATTGGGATAATCAAATCTTTGCCGTATACTACGATCGAGGGTTACCAAAATTAAGGTTACACAAAAAGCAAGAAAGTTAATTTAACGACTTAATTCTACTCCCCATGACATTGTCAAAAATGAATTAATCCCTCAAAAAAAGGTGATTAACAAAAAATAAATTATCAATCTCTATGTCATTGTGTTTAAAAAATTTCTATTATCGACTAACTTATCCTGATTTTTTTTGCCACCTTTCTTTGACTTCAAAATTGGCCACCCTGATGAGGGTTTTAACCCTATTAATTAATTTATACTCCTTTTTTAAAATATTATTTTTTTGCATCAGCAACTTTTTGTGTACTTTTCGTGATTTCATTTCGTGTGACGTAACTTGTTATTTTAATAAGAATAAAGTGAGTATTCTTTTTAATCAATTTTTCTGTTATATAAAGAAGTTCTGAAGCACTTTAGTACTAAAGTATGTAATATGTACTTTCTAAAATTTACAAGATGCTCCCATTTAATTTTATGAGATTAATCTCCAAAACTAAGGGCAACCCAGTGCACTAAGCTTTCGCTATGCGCGGAGGGCCGGACCACTAGGGTCTATCGTACGCAGCCTTACCCTGCATTTCTGCAGGAGGCTGTTTCTACGGCTCGAACCCAAATTAATAGTGCTATTAAAGAAGACATTTTACTTTCTTATCCTTTACTTGGAATGGACAATTTAATTGAAAGCAATAAAATTAAGGATCTGAATACATTAACTAGACGTCTTAGGTTTGAGCCATATAATTAGAATTATCTTTGATAGAGAGTACTTTATCCCTCTAGTGGGGCTTCCGAAGCTAATTTAGATTAGTCAGGCTTAAATTGAAGTCGGCTTTCCTATCGCTTTTTGAGCCAGATTTTGATGAGACCGGTCAAGGTCGGGATTCATTATCTCTTTTCGCTCAACGGCTCATCCCCTTATCACTTAAAGGGCGAAATCACCGAAGCAAGTCTTTGATAGAGAGTACTTTATTTCTCAAGTAAGGTTTTTCAACGCTAATTTAGATTAGTCAGACTCAAAGCGGATACGAAACGTCGAGTGAAAAAAAATATACTAAGCAATAATTGCACCAATTATAGGTTCATCTTCATTTTTATTAACAAAATCAAAAGAAAAATCATACAAAAATTTGAATACCACTATCACTACTATAAACTAGGGAGACATAAAAGTAGAAGATCCATGTTATGTGTAGCTAATTAGTTCCACACCTTAATGCACTTTAAACGGCACAAAAAGTTAAAGAAGAAACTACAAATCCATGAAAAAGTTGAAAATGAAATATTAGTCTACATTTATTTTTTAATTACTTTTTGAGCTTTTTATTTTTTATTTATTTTTAGTTTTTATTACTTCCAAGACTATTGGGGTCCAGTGAAGCCTTGACTACCACTTCTTTCCAATAAATAAATATATATATAAATGAATAAGATTGTTTGACTTTCAGACTTTGTTTTCTTGCTTTGTTTTGTCTTACCTACAAAGTGACTTTCATGGAATCAAATATAGAAGTGGAATAGAAGCTCTGAAAACAGAATGTAATCAGAAGGGGTAAAAAGTTAGTGAGACAAAAATCATGAAAATATTAAAAAAAAAAAAAAAAAAGAAGCATAAGAATGGTAAATTATGGTCCCCTCCCCTATTGTTTGTGAAAGTTACAGATAGACCCCATTAAGTTCTTGATATTAATCTTTAAGACTAATAACTTCAAATTGATGGTACTATTAAGGGTCATTTTACTTCTTAACCTTTACTTGGAATGGACAATTTAATTGAAAGTAATAGATTAAGGAACTAAAAACATTTCCAATACCGACAACAGTTCCCGCAGAAACAATTATAGTAATTCTTGTGCCAATTAACTTTAACCTTTAAAAAGCAATAGATTTCACGAAATTTTACTAGTTATCTTTTACTTCAGAATGACGTGCATTTTTCGTATTTCAACGTGTAAAATACGGCTAAACGACAAGATTAGGTAGATAAATGGAACAACTTAAAGCCATAATCATGATTAACTTGCATTGCTTTACTATTATCTTGGGGTATTTTTCACTTAAACAATGTAACATCATTCAATATCACTAGAATAGTGATTATATTTTTTTATTAGGAAAACAATAATTAATAGTAAAGTAACGTAGATGAAGGGGAGCCTTGGCATAACTGGTAAAGTTGCTGTCATGTGACCAGGAGGTCATAGGTCATCGAGCCGTGGAAACAACAAAGGGCAGTCCGGTGCATTAAGCTTCCACTATGCGCGGGGTCTGTCGAAGGACCGGACCACAAGGGTATGTTGTACGCAGTCTTACCTTGTATTTCTGCAAGAGGTTGTTTCGACGGCTCGAACCCGTGACCTCCTGGTCACATGACAGCAACTTTACTAGTTATGCCAAGGCTTCCCTTGTAGAATGGAAACAACCACTTGTAGAATGCAGGGTAAGGCTGTATATAATAAATCCTTGTGATCGAACCTTTCCCCGAATCTCACGTATAGCGAGAGCTTAGTGCACTAAACTCTCTTTTTAACAGTCAAAACTCAAGAAGCTAAGTGGGAAAAGGACCATTTGGATTCACAATGAAAATTCAATTATTTACTGCTAAAAAACACTGTTTTTTCTTTATTTCTTAATGCTAATTAAGAGACTTAAGGGGTCGTTTGGTTGCCGGTTAGAGTTATGCAGGTATTAGTTATACATGTATTAGTTATGCAGGGATTAGTTATGCAGGGATAAGTAATGCAGGGAGTAGTTATGCAGGTATTAGTTATGCAGAGATTATTTTTTTGAATGTTTGGTTTGTTGTATTAGAAATTGATATACATTATATAAATTTTAAAGTAAAATGCTTGTTTACAACTATACCCCTGGCCTTCTTTTGCATTGTTTTTTCTCTCTTTCCATTTATGTAGGAAACAATTTAGTTGGGAACTTTGGGTGTTACTTTCACTTCTTCGTCATACTACTGAACTATGTGAAGTTTAGACATATTTGATTTTCACTTCTTAGTTTTGGTATTTCCATTTTCTAGTGGCTTCTCCAGTTTGCTTTTGCTAGTTTGTTCTTTAAAAATGAGAGAAGACAAGGTATATAGTTGGCAAGTGAAAGCAAGTGAAACCTGTTGACGGGTTGGCAGAGAAATAAGGAAGCCTTATGTGTAAAATGATCGGGGTAAATTTGTCATTTCAGTATTTTATCCATGTATTACTAATACATGTATTAGTTATTCCATCTTCTACCCCGCATAAAATAATACACAGATTGACTCATAACTTATACATGTATTATTTATGCATAATTGAAAAATGTCAACCAAACATGGTATTAGTTATGCAGAATTTTATACAAAATAACTACTGCCTACTAAACATGGTATAAGTTATGTTACTCCTTATACATGAATAACTTTTCTTCTAACCAGCTACCAAAGGACCTCTAAATGTACATTGGTTTTGCTGCTGTGGTTTTCTCCAAAGTCAACCAAAAGAAGCCTTGCATTTGGTGAAAGATAATAAAGAAATCACCTGCCCCTAATCTTTAAATTTTTTTAAAAAACAAAAAATTAAACAATTTCTCAATCTGATGAATCATGATAGAGAAATTACTATCATTTATTTATATCTTACAGATCAAAGCTTGGATCATCAACAATAATGTCTGTGCTGCTCTCTGATCAAAGAATTTAATTTCTGATTTTTTTTTAAAAATATTTTATTTTAGTCTCATCTCATTTACACCTCTCAACCAGCCATTCTTCAATTTCCCTTTCAGTAAATTTGACCTTGCAGGTTCCTTTTTCTAGTAAAAAACCATTAAAAGATCTCTCTTTTAGAGTCTTTATCACAACCCCATTTACTTATATCTCTTCTCTCATCCAATTCTTTCATATTTTCATCCATTTCCTTAAAAAACCTCTGAAAGACTGAACCTTTTTTTACTCTTGTGTTCATTTCCTATTATCACAAGCCAAAAAGTTTGAATCTTGGTGAGTTTTTCTTATAGTTTTCAAGAAAATATGAATTGGGGTCTTGTTAAAATTCATGAAAAGTAGTGTTCTTTCATATTTTCATCTATTTTTTTTTTTTTTTGCTGAAAACCTATCAAAGATTGAAACTTTTGTGCATTCCGTCACAAAGCAAAAAGTTTGAATCTTGGTGAGTTTTTCTCATAGTTTTCAAGAAAATGTGAGTTGGGGTGTTGTTAAAATTCAAGAAAGTAGTGTTCTTTCACAATTTTCATCTATCTTCTTACTGAAAGATTGAAACTTTTTAAGTCTGTTTCCATTTTCTTGATCATTTTCCTATTGTCAAAAACCAAAAAGTTTGAATCTTGGTGAGTTTATCTTATAGTTTTCAAGAAAATATGAGTTGGGTTTTTGTTAAAATTCAAGAAAGTAGTGTTATTTCTCCATCAAATCAACCACTTTTCCTCCTTCAACCACCACCACCACCACCCTTAACACCATTTCCTACACATGATTCTAGTGGTAGTAATGGTGGTCTTTTCAATTTGAATAACAAAGTAAGTCCAAGTATACTTCTTGTTATCATAATTCTTGCAATTATCTTCTTTATTTCTGGTTTACTTCACTTACTTGTTAGATTCTTATTAAGGCCAACAACTAGAGATCCAGATGATTTAGACAATGTAACAGCACTTCAAGGTCAACTACAACAACTTTTTCACTTACATGATTCTGGTGTTGATCAATCTTTTATTGATACATTACCTGTATTCAATTACAAATCAATTATTGGTGTAAAAGATCCTTTTGATTGTGCTGTTTGTTTGTGTGAATTTGAGCCAGAAGATAAGCTTAGATTACTCCCTAAATGTAGCCATGCTTTTCATATGGAGTGTATTGACACTTGGCTTTTGTCTCATTCAACTTGTCCTCTTTGTAGAGCTAGTTTATTGCCTGATTTCTCTTCATCAAATAACAACCATAGTTGTTCTCCTATTGTCTTTGTTCTTGAATCTGGTAGTGAAAGTTCAAGAGAAAATATTGTTCAAAATAGTCATGAATTTGGATCATTGAGAAGGAATAATTCAATTTCAAGACTAAGTTTAAGTTCCCATTTTGAGGAAATTAATGTCCAAGATGTTGTTGTGGCAAAAACTTGTGATGAAATTCAAGGAAAAGTTGAGGAAGTTGAAAAAGTTGTACAAGTGAAGTTAGGAAAATTCAAGAATGTAGAGCCACAAGAAAGTGAAGAAGGAAGTAGTAATAATATTGATTCAAGAAGATGTTTTTCAATGGGATCATTTGCTTATGTTTTAGATGAAACTAGAGCTTTACATGTTCCTATTAGAAAAACACCCTCAAAAAAGAGTTCAAACAAGAAGCCAAATTTGCCACCTTTGACACCAGGTCATAGACAAGCAATGTCTGAATGTGGTTGTGATTCAAGAAGAGAATTCAATGGATTTGAGGGATTCAAATTTGCTGAAAATCCCATGCAAAACAACATTAATGTCAATGAAAACAAGATTCTTGAAAATGGGAGTTGTAAAAGAGAGAGCTTTTCAGTTTCCAAGATTTGGTTAAGGGCAAAAAAAGATGAAAATAATAATTCAAGAAGGGCTTTTTCTTTCCGGTTCCCGGTTAGCCGGAATATTCCAGCCGCGGCGGTTCCAGGCGGCTCCGCCGCGGCCAAGAATGGTATTGGTGGTGGTGGTGGTAGTAGGAGGACTATTTCTGAGATTGATATTGGTACATGGGAAAAAAATGGAGGATGTGATGAAGAAAATCAATGCTACAATAGATTGGAATTTCAACCAAAAACTCCATCTTTTGCAAGGAGAACTCTTCTTTGGCTTATGGGAAAACAAAACAAAGTTGTACACTCTTCTTTCTCATCAAATCTCTAGTTTTTTTTTTTTTTGAATTTATTTATTTTCAAATTTTGTTTGATAGATGTAGAGGTGAATTACTAGGGAGGAGGGAAAAAGAATACAATTATGGAAAAAAGAAGAGAAGGAAAAATATTTGGAAGTTTGGAATAGTATCTCAACACAACATTTTGCATCTTCTATATCAAATTGCTTATTAGATGATCAATTCCCTTCTTTTTTTTTTTTTCAATTTTAGCTTAGTATTTTTAGTGTGAAAATTTCTAATTATTTTCCAAGTAATTTTACAGCTGTGATATGTAGTGTTTAGTTTTCTCTGTCAAGTATTTATGAGGCAGTTTTGGTTGTAAGTTATAAAGGTTATTAAAGGTGGTAGAGTGGTTGTTGTGGTCATTTCTGGCATTCAAGAAGGGGAAGTTAAATTAAATTTTGAAATTGTAACCACTTTAATATTGTTGTTTCCGAACTACAAAATTCAGAGATATTCAAATTTTAATTGTTAGCTGAATTTTATTTTAAGAGTACTTCAAGAATTAAGGACATAAATAATAGAGTCACATTGATACCTTATCAAAAAAGAAAAATAATAATAATAGAGTCATATTGATTGTATTGCCAATTTATGTGAAAATTCTCTTTAGTACACTCACATGATGTTCTTGTTCATACAACAACAACAACATATACAGTATTATCCTACATCGTGGGGTCTGGGGAAGATGGTGTGTACGCAGACCTTATCCCTACCTTGTGAGAATAGAGAGACTGTTTCCAATAGACCCTCGGCTCAGGAAAGTAGAAGCATCACATTAATAAAAATATAGACAAGAAAGGACAGTACCAAAAAGTCATATAAAAGCAGAATAAAAACAATAAGATAGTAACGTGATCAACAATGAAAGGAAACAAACGGCTAGTCATAAAAACCTGCTACCAACAGAAAGCGAGAATGCATGCCAATACTACTGTTATAGACACTCTAGACTACCTACTCTACTACCCTAATCCTCGACCTCCATACCTTCCTATCAAGGGTCATGTCCTCGGTCAGCTAAAGCTGCGCCATGTCTTGCCTAATCACCTCTCTCCATATCTTCTTTGCCCTACCTCTACCTCTTCGTAGGCCCTCCAATGTAAAACTCTCACACCTCCTCATCAGGGCGTCTGTGCTCCCCCTCCTCACATGACCAAACCACCTAAGCCGCGCTTCCCGCATCTTGTCCTCAATAGGGGCCACACCTACCTTGTCGCGAATAACCTCATTTCTGATCCTATCTAATATGTTGTGGCCGCACATCCATCTCAACATTCTCATATCTGCTACCTTCATCTTCTGAACATGAGCGATCTTGACTGGCCAACACTCAGCCACATATAACATCGTTGGCCTGACCACTACTCTATAGAACTTACAAGTTTCGGTGGCACCTTCTTGTCACACAAAACACCAGGAAGAGAGTCTCCATTTTATCCATCCCGCCCCAATACGATGTGTGACATCTTTATCAATCTCCCCATCCCCCTGAATAATAGACCCAAGGTACTTAAAACTTCCTCCCCTAGGGATGATCTGCAGCCCAGCCTCGCCTCCCTTCCCCTCCTTGAGTCACGCCACTAAACTTACACTCCAAGTATTCCATCTTGGTCCTACTCAACTTGAAACCTTTAGACTCCAGGGTCTGCCTCCATACCTCTAATTGCGCGTTCACACCATCTCGTTTCTCGTCAATCAATACAATATCATCTGCAAATAGCATGCACCACGGTACCTCCCCTTGGATGTGGCGCATTAGTACGTCCGTCGCCGGAGCAAACAAAAAAGGGCTGAGTGCCGACCCTTGATGCAACTCTATCATAACCGAAAAATTCAGGATGTTTCATGTTGCAAAATAGCTTTTCCATTAAAGGTTTATGGAATTAAATAAGATGGTTGAAATGACGAGTGTTACTCGAAGGGTTATGGATAAGAGGAAATTTACAAAAAGGTAGCTCGGTGTATAAAGTATTTTGTATTTATGCAGGGTTAGGGAAGAGATCGCACCCAAAGGGGTGTGATGTAGGCAGCCTACTATGATGCAAGTATCAGTGGCTAATTCCACGGCTCGAACTCGTGACTTATAGGTCACACAGAGACATAGGAGGAAACTTACAAAATGAAAGTACTTTCTATGTGATGATTATAACTTATAAGTATCTTTGGACCAATATATTTATAAGATGGATGTTGCAGAAATATAAATATTAAGATGGACGTGCGATCATACAAAATTAGAAATTATCATATCCAATAAAAGGTACAAATAGTTAATATAGAAGTAAATAAATAAGATCGGTTTGAATTGGTTTGAATCAGTGGGAAACCATGAAGATGGAAGTTATTAAAAAAAGAATATGTTAGATTTAAATATTAATCTCAAAAATCTTAGTCTTCAATTGGAGAGGAAGAGCTACAGATTATACGAAGTGTGTATAGAACATGCCCTTTCATGGGCCAAAGTGTGCCAGATCAAGAAGTTGGGGAAGTGTGTATAGAACATGCCCTTTCATTTATTTATTTATTATTTATTTATTCTGCATATTATTTCTAATAGATGCCAAAATTAGTTACGGTTAACTATATGAATCTTTTGTAATTATTTTTTAAGAGTATATTTGGTGCGACATAGTAGTAATAAAATGAAGGAAAGTAACTTTGTTACATAAATTTTAATAGTTAAACAATTTTTTATTACTCTGAATTAAAATAAGTAATTTTGTTACACAATTTTAATAGTGAAATTATTATATATGCAATCAACTCCAAAATAATAGGACAAGATATTCAACTTTGGAATAGAGTTTCTTTTCTCTTAACTCCCTTTAATTTAATTAAATTATCATATAAGTCTTGGAAAGTTAGTCAGTGTGAGTAGTTGCATTGTTGACTTAAAATTAAATACTTATCTTTTTCCAAATGAAACATAAAAAAACTTGACTTATGACTATGTTTAGATATGGCTGTCAATATTAGTAGGTATAAAATAGTTTTCAAGGGGACACCTAAACTTTCCATTTCGGAAATTATACCCTACTAACTTTGTCCAAATTGCACTAATCACCCATTTTATCACATTTTAAATTAGAAAGAGATTAATTTTGAACAAGAAACAAAAAAAGTTAAGCAGCTTAATATTCTCCACGAGCTCGACATATAATTATTTTGTTAAGTGACTCAATCTTAAGGAAACGAGCCTACTAATTCATTTATCTAAAGAAGGAATGAAAGCGTTAGAGTCTTAATCTACTGCTTAACCTGAAATAAAACCTTTCAATGCGAAGAAAAGATTGACCATCGGGTTAATTTATGCCAAGATTGACTACTCGATAGAAAAGAGGCTGCCCTATGAATAAGGGAAGTGACTAGCCTTCTTTTAGGCCAAGGAAGGAAAGCACAGTAGAAGTAGAACAGCGCGGCGGGACATGGCATTAGTTAGGGAGAAGGAAAAGCTACCAAACATCAATTCAATAAACAGACAAGGCGGCTTGACCTTAACAAAAAAAAGCCTGAACTCCAGTATAACTTTCGTCTCTGATCGGTATCTTTTTCATAACCCGAGGACGGGGCCCTTTTTTCGAAAAAAATAATTCTGATTTTCATAAATTTCACATAAGATAAAAGCTCTTTTCATCATAAAAAAGAACCTAACTTCCGACCTCTTTGTATTGCATTACCATGAAAACAAAACAACAACAACAACAACAGAATCTTCAGAAATTCCAAAAAAGAGAGCTTTTAGAAACTTGATAGGAAAGATATATATTATGAGAGTACTCGATTCGATCCTCTAGTGATTTAACAATCTTGTGAGATGAGCATTAGAATTGAGTCCTTCGTAATACAAGGGGTAAACCTCATGAATTTTCCATTTTTAATATTTTTAGAAATAATTAAAGAATATACGAAAACTACATATTACGAACTGGAGAAAATAGATAATTCTTAAGTTCAATAGAAAAAATTAATTCTTTCTGTATAATATTATTTCTCCATTTAGCGTCCAATATTTATATGTGGACTCGATTAATCTTAATTCTTGCCACGTAAGACCCATTAAAGAGAAAAACGTTCCTATCGAGATTTTTTTTTATTTTCGGGGCTTGAACCCTGTTTGACTCAAAAGATGTTAAAATCTTTTTAAGCAAATCAATCACAGAATTGAAAGGGTAAATCATAGTCAATCATAATTCATATCGGATCTAAAGATAAAGAAATAGCAATTAAATACAAAAATGGAGGAAGCATCGAAAATATTTTATTCATGATGAAACTTTGCCCTGCCCCCTCCTTAGAGGGGAAGGGAGTTACAATCGTTGTGTTTTTCTCTCTTCCTCCCTCTCCCTCTCTAGATGGAGCTTCCTTTTTCTTCGGGTGGAGTTCTGTTATCTATTCTCTGACTTCTTGGAGTTTTTGGAGGAGAAGTCGATTTTTCGTCCCGCTTTCTGGGTTCCCTTCGCTTCATATTTATACTCGAAAGGAAACTGCTTTTCCCTTAGACATAACTTGTCTTGTCAGACTTGTGGAAGCCTACTGGTCGGGGTGAGGGGCGTACCCTCGTCGCTCGTGGAGAATGTCGCGGTGATGGAGCCAGAATGGATCCGTTGACTTCTTTCATATGGCGACTGAAACAGGGTCGTGGTCGCCCCGGTCGGGGTGGTCAGATTTCTGACCAATTCAGTTAGTCCCTCCGTTCGGCGGGGTCGTACTTTAACGACTCCGACGGACGGATCACGTGCGCAACGTAGTCGGAAGGAATTTGACCCCCAGACTGTTTCTTTTCGCGTTGTGAGTTTCAAAATTGTTCGGGGGTGTCGATCAGTGTTCGCGCACGGTTATGACGGTTGAGAAACTGAAGCGCCGGTTGGTAAATGAAGCGTTGCTTCGTGTAAGCGGTCGTTATGACGCACATCTCTGAGGACCTGAAACTTTTCGCGTCCCATTGGGTCTTAATGGCAACCATTGGGTCGCGCGCTCGCGGTATTTATGCCTCTTATAAATCGGAGAACCCATCATTTGTTTTTCGCACTTTATTGTTCATCTTTGAAAAAATTCTCAGGATATCTCCTTTTCTGTTAATTCGAGCTCTATCTTACTCCTTCGCTCGTAGCAATCCTTAATTTCTTCGCCTCTCCCGTCGAGTTCTTTCTCCCTTTTCTTCGGGCTAAAGATGG